ATCAAAAGCGAAGGGAGGTCTCAGAGTTGAAGCGCATCCCGCACTTCTCTTGGACCAAAGTGGAAAGCTGGATTTGAAGCGAGCTGCGGCGTTGATGCCAAAGCCTAATTTTGCTACAGTAAAAGTGAGTTTCAATTACACTTAGACATTAGTCATGCATGTCATTCCTTTCCCCTCTTCCTTTAATGCACACTTCAAAATTTCTTTTTATACAGACATAATGATGATATTTGTTCGCCTCAACAGGCAAACCAAAGGGCAGCCCCTGCGGCGTCTAAGCAAGAACTTAAAGTAGCAGCTTCTGAAGAAATGACCGACGTTACCCAAAATCCGTATTTTGATCCTAGAGCTGGCAATATCGCACCACAAAGGCGTATTCGTAAGAGGTTCAAATTTGTGTCTAAGGGTAAATACGAAACTCTGGGAAACCAGATGAGAGCCCAGGTTTGTATCCTCAATTTTAAGTATCCAATGATTTCACGATTTCTTTAAAAACATCCATCGTTGATAATACCATTTTTTTTTAAAAAATAGGCCAAACTGGAAAAGTTGAAATCAGAGATCGCCGAAAGTGTCAAGAAAGCTGGAATGGAGGCAGAGCTAGACTCGCTGGACAAAGCTATCAAGGTATTAAATATTCTGATTCTAGCATTGACGTCAGTGCTTTGATATTCGTTTATTTATTCATTTTTTTCATTTAGAGGGATCCACCTCCTGTATTAGAATGGTGGGACACACCTTTCTTGCCAAGTAAAACGTATAATGACATTGATGCTGGGCTAACCAAAATCGAGGATGAGGATTCACTTATTACCTGGTTTGTTCAACACCCGGTTCCCATTAAACCCCCAGGATATAATGGACCCCCACCGCCAAAACCATTGATCTTGACTAAAAAGGAACAAAAAAAGCTGCGCAAACAACGTAGATTGGAGTTACAGAAAGAAAAGCAGGACAAAATTCGCCTTGGATTGTTACCTCCTGATCAACCTAAGGGTATGTTTGGAAATAAAAAATTTTTTCTGTTACACGAATGTGTATTATGTGCTCACATATATCATTTGTTCTTTGTGGATTAATAAAGTCAAATTGAGTAACTTGATGAGAGTACTCACAAATGATGCTATTCAGGATCCAACTATGATTGAGGCTAAGGTTCGCAAAGAAATGCAAAAACGACATGAAACGCATTTGAAAGCAAACGAAGAACGCAAGTTGACAGATGAACAGAAAAGGGAAAAAAGAAAGCGGAAGTTAGAAGAAGATTCCAAGAAAGCTACTATAATTTGTGTTTTCAAGTAAGTTTTAGTGTGCCTAATGTTAGAAGTCGAAAATGAAATATCCTATTACGATCTTACATTAACATACGTAAATATGTATATCGGTTCACAGAGTCAATGACCTCTCCCACCCTAAAATGAAATTTAAAGTTGACACGAATGCTCAACAACTTGGGCTTACGGGTACTGTAATTATTAATCCAAATTTTGCCGTGATCATCGTGGAAGGGGGACCTAAAGCGATAAAATCTTATAAGAAATTGATGTTAAGACGCATTGACTGGTCCGATACAACCAGATTAGGAGAAGCTAGTGGTGATCAAGCAACCGAGGAACAAATGGTGCCAGTTAAAAAGAATAAATGTTCTTTGATTTGGGAAGGAGAGGTTAAAGAGCATAGATTTAAAGGTTTTTGGTTTAAGACGTGCCTTACCGAGAAAATGGCGCGTGATTACTTGAAGAAACATAAGGGAGAACATTACTGGGATTTGGCAGCGAAGTATTCCGAAGAAGAATTTGAGTTTGCTAATGCTCTTTAAATTTTTCGCGTTTTTTTTTTTTTTACAGCACTTCAGATTTATGCTTTCTCTTTTAAATATGAATATATATAAAAATCTCTAATACCTCGCAAATTGTTTCGCTATCTATATGTGTAAATTTAAGGCAAACAATAAATAATTTAGAGCTTATATTAGGTATAGATGACAAATATATTTTTATTATAAGTTTTATGTTTATAAAATATACTTCAACAGTTATAGTTTTGACTAGGATAATCATGTTTATTAAATTTACACTATAGAAACTATAGTGGTACTTTAGGCAAAGGCAAAGTTGGAAATACAATGGCTTCGTTATAAATAATAATAATAATTTTTAAAGTATAATTTATACAGGAAAGCAAGTTATGTGTATCTTCATACAAGTTAACTGGTATAGTCTGGAAAATGCGTTTAAGGCATCAGGGTTATTAATAAAATTTTGTCTGTCAAATTACATTATTAAGAGAACTTTTTCTTTTGATCTGTGAGACATTTAAAGATGAAGTAACTACGGTATATGGTTATAAAAATACATTATTATATGAAATAGAAAGGAGCATTAAATATATCAATTGGATTTATCTATTTATAATGCGTCAAGTTATAACTGCCCGAATCCTAAACATACTGTATATTGATAGTGCACAGCTCCTACAGAAAAAAACCGATCATTCATGATAAAAATGATTTTTATCAACGTCACGGTTGTAGAACGAACGTTAGCATGCTAATCTTTCAAGCGGGGTAGGCCCCAGCGCCAAATCACCTCGGTTTGGATGTTTCAGAAGGATGTTGCGGGTTGCGTTGTGATCCCTGTCAATCTCAAAATCGCATCAAGCGCACCTGTAAACTTTTGCACCACCAATATTGCCCTATATGTTTCCGCAATTCCCGCACGTCTTGGATGTGTAATGCTCATCACAGATTATCAACAATCGACCGGGGTACTTTTTCGATCTTGTGTGCTAGAGATGTAATTTTCATCCAACAGTATGCACACGCAAATATAGAATCGACCCAATCTGCCTCTCGTGATATCAACAATATTTTTTATTTCGGAGGTCTTTGATATGCTTAAGGAACGCACATTCATATTTTTTCGTATGAAATCCATTTTTTTTTCAATAGCAATTGATTGCGGTTTATACTTATTTGATTTTTTCTTGATCGTGAATTTCTTATTCGATTTAAGATTTGTATCGTACGCTTTTGACAATTTGGACAGCGCACAATCGCGTACACCTGAAGGAGTTTCCTTCACCCAAGCATTTTCAAGTTGATAGTTATCGTTATTAATCACTCGTTTTCTCAAATATTTTTTGGTTCTGCGTCCCTCTCTTATCATATCGAGACGTGGATTATATATATGTCCATCGATACTTCTCTTTCTCGATCTTGGGATTAATGCAGATCTTGCTGCGTCTTCAATCTCTTGTCTTCATTTTTTGTTTACCGCAGTCCTATCTAGCTGGAAACACCGTGATGATAGATAGTAGATCCTCTGAAAGTTTGCCATTCAACATCTGTACCGAGAACCACGAGTTTGACATCGTGTTTCTGAAAAATCCGCCCGACGAGCTCGTGTGCAAATCGGCACGATCGGTCCTTGCGGGTAACCATAATTTCCTGCGTACACTCATTCCAGAATGGACACGAATCCTTGTCGATTCCAATTGAGACTAGACTCGACGTCGGTAACGATCTCATTTAGAAGTGAAGTATGCACGCTGCCTTTCAAGGTCATCTTTCTACTTTTCACTGGATGCTCGTGTGTAACAAAGTTTTTCTTTTACGCACTCTCCCTATTAAACAACGAAATACAAATATTTTCCACCCGGCATAGTGACACTTAAAACATCTCCACGTTCGCTCCATCTACGAAGAGTGTTCGTATATATTCCATAATTCTTCTATATCTTGTTTGCAAGTTGATAATTTATGCGTGTCTTTTCGTGTTTTTTTTAGTTGTTTTTTACACGATGATGCATTTTGAGATTGACAGGAAAGCTTTTTTCACGACCTTTATATCTTCTGAAACATTTTTGTCATATGATATATGAACTCACCATAACGAAAATTTACATAAAGCGTAAATGCTACGAAATGAAACGAAATGATGAATACACGTTACAGAACATGGCATATCTTACGTATTTCAAAATTTTATGAATATCTAGTTAGTATCATACGTGATAATAACTTTGAAAGTAAATGTTGGATTTTTGTTCACCTGTGTAATCTTTTTTGGAATTAAGGAAATCAATGAGTACGATATACTACAGGATATAAAAGTGAATATTACAAAAGTCAATATTTTACCTGATCACAAATTTTGTTAATGCCTTCAAAACTTGGATCCTGAGAATCTATATTCTTTGATCTTATCACCTGTGTATATTCTAAGAATACCATTGACACTTCGGATATATCTGTGCATCTAAACACCAACTGTATAACAAAATTATCGTCCAGAAAACGAGCGTGAGATTTCCATACGAAAAGTTACAAGTTTTCAAACTCAATTCTTACCTTCGCGGCTTCACCTTTTCTAATTTTAACAACCCTGCTGTACGCATCATAATTCTTAAACACTAAGGCTAAAGTTGCGTATCCCATGACCAACGGTGTAGCAGAAAATCCAAATATATTAATGTTTTCAAGTTTAGTTAAGTAATTAATTGCATCGGGAACATGGGTAAGAGTATTCAAAACCATCGCGTTAAGACAGTACAATGCAACAACACTGTTTTCCGGTAGGATCAGATCTTCTATTTCGTCTACATATCTTGACCAAATTTCTTTTGGCCAAAATTTTCGATTTTCACCGAGATCTTCGATGAAATCCCGTAAGATGTTTAGTTTTTGAAGAAAGACGCCCATTGAAATGATTCTATAAACGGTTGCGATTGTTTATGGAAATTTAAGATCCATGAATAGATTTAAGATGTGAATATTAGACGTATAGTAAATTGTTTACATCTCAGAGTTTTCGATTGAATCCGGAATATTCGACCCGACTGCATTGAATAGATCACTGAGGCCAATACCAACTAATCCAGCGACGTAATAACAATACAAATCTAGATCTTTGATAGATACTATACTGTACTTATTTCGTGCTGCGAGCGTTGTAAAATCCGCCATCCCATTACCCATTTTCTTGGTGATGTCTAAAATAATTTCTTGACACCTGAAAAAGAGGTAAAAAGAGCTGTGATCAACCCGACAGAATATTAACATTGAACAAAAAGAAAATGACAAATACTTTTTGGGAAGAAGGAAGAATTCTTCTATTACGACATTAAATTCCTCGAGCAATTGTCGATCCTTTTCATTCAACCCATCTTCGATTAAAAATGTCAGAGACAAGATGATCGATGGTTTGCAAGGATTGGTTAGATATAAAAAACTCTGACTCACTTTCTTTAAAAGTCCATCCTTGTTGTATTATTTTTTCGTGAAAACTTCTTAATAGAGGTTCCTTTTTTTCGATAGGCAATGTCATGTCATCCTCAATCGTGTCCATTCCTCGTAAACATAAATAAAATACGCAGACCTCGAGAAAACGTAACGGGATAATATTAAAAGGTGAATTTTCTTCCCGTTGAAAACCCCTGAATAAACTGCCGACATCCTACGGATTAATGCATGCATCATGTCAAGTTCTAACTTACGAGGTCGCGCAATTCGGGCTGCAAATCCATAATAATTGACGCGAATGACCCTGAGGTCATTTCTAAGAAGTAATAACACCTTTGTTTTGTTTTACTCCATGTAGGTTTATCGGTCGCAATTATTGGTCGAAAGAACCTATAACGTATTAGGGCGAGCAACTCTGATGGATAAAACAATGATTCAAAGTAACTTGAAGCCATGTTTTATTCTTAAAGGAATTTTGTTAAAAGAAAGAATTCATAAATGCGAGACTAGCGAACTCATTATGTACTACATATTTCGTGTAACGCAGCATGTGTAATTACTTTCTACTTCAAAATGGTATGAAGGTCGATTAAAAATGGCATGTGTGATTTAAATATGCATACAGAATACATTTAGACAATAGTAAGAAAGCCTTATGGTAATACATTATCTTATTTTCTATAAAGAGTAAAAAATATTGTGATGTTTAATAGATAAAACTTTTATTATATACTGTATATGGGTGTTATTGCGTAGCAAAATCGGGGCTTAGAAAAGTTTTAACCAAAATTGCCTAATAATGTTCTTTCTCGGTAGTAAAATTTTAGATATAATATTAGAATTTAGTGCAATCTTGCGCGCAGTTTTTTTATTTCATATAATTCAATATACTGTATAAATTTGAATTGATAATCGTCTGAATGTAGGCTGGCCGAAATCTTTCAAGGCATAGTCTTTGAC